TTTTCTATATATTTGTATGTAAACTTCTCAGTACGTTTTGTAGCCCCAACCTTCCCAAGTGGATCATGATTAGAACAAATTTGAATCTATACTACCTGATCAAGTTTCTATATTAATATGACTTATTACTGCTCTACTCTTTTCATGAAGAATATTTGTAAAGATTTTTTTCCTAAACATTCCGATGTAAAACTTTGATTTCCTATTGTCACCCCGGCCTACACCTAGAAGCCATGATTTGAATAAATTTGAATTTCTACTAGCTGAAGATGCTTCCACATCCGTATGACTAATCATGACTTTGCTTTTCTTACGAAAAAGATTTGTAACACTTTTTGTGGTATTTTTTTGTGTTACTTCTTTGTAAAACTCTGAATCTTTAATGTGAACCACTCATCCCCGGGGGTCAAGATTTGAACAAACTTGAATCTGTGCTATATACCTGAGGATGCTTTCATATAAATAATAGCTTGCTGTTCTTGAGAAGGAGATTTTTTTTTATATTCCTATGTAAAACTTATATTGCTTGTGTGACCCCGAACTATCACAATGGTACATGATTTGAACCAACTTACGTTTCATCTTTTCTGGCTCGGTGGTTATTGAAAAGAAGATTTTAAAAGATGTCATTAAATTTTAAGTAATTCTTAATTATTTCCCTTCGAAGAAAGACAAAGTCCTTCATTTGAAAAAAATCAATCCCCTACATTTAAGGAAGCTGTTTACCAAGTTAGGTTGAAACTGGTCCAGAGGTTGTGAAGAAGAAGATAAAATGTGAAAAGTGTACAACAAAGACAGACAATCGACAAATTTTATTAGAAAAGCCTTCGGCTCAAGTAAGCTGAAAAAGCTTTTAAATCAAATTTGAAAGTCCAAAACAATTGAAGTAGGAAGGGTAAAAGTCTCATGTGAAGCCATGCTTCACAAAGCGACATCTGAACATGAATATTCTTTTCTTGAAGTTTAGTTGAATTAAATTTTGAACGAAAATTTAAGGACAAAACCTTATTTTGTATATGCTGATTGCAAAGCTGACAGCAAATATTAATGAAACAGAAAATCCCACTGCAATTGAATCATGAATCGTACATTGTAACAATATGATTACATATAAATAATATTGTATTTATGGTATTCTTTACATGGCTTTGAGATGAATTCGTCATTTTTTTCCTTCCGTTATTTAAATTTCTTCATATTTTTCAACAATATTTTTACAGGAAATCAGAAAGAGAGAATGATAATCAGTTAATATAGTTTGTGATATAATATAACAGTTTTAAAATGTTTGAAATTTTATAAGCAAGACTTCATTTCCTATAAAAATTGTGAATTAAAAAAACCCTTAGGTGATTTATTTTGTATCTTGGAATAGGAATTTATTTTTGTTTAGAAATCTTATCTTGAAAGATTTATGTCAAATAAAGAACCCCATTGGATAATCAGAATCAACTTACGAAAAACTGTTGTTTGAGAAAACTCAGGATTTGTTTCTCGACTTCCAAAGGGATTTTTAGTATCTAAATAATAAAACAACTTTATCAAGCATATGTTTTCCGACAGCAACTCAGAATTTCATTAAGGAGCGCTGTTTTGTGAAATCCCTGACATTATAAATTTACAACGTTTGAAAAATAGTTTGAATGAAATATATGGAGATAACGAACAGTATTCAAGCTCAAAAGTCCATTAAACAATACAAAATAGGAGCAGAGCAGACACGGACCTCAAAACATCAGAGGTGGGATCAGGTGCCATGGAGGAGTGAGCATCCCCTGCCGACCGGTCACACCCGCCGTGTGCTCCTTGTCATGATCGGGAAATAACGGAAAAATCCGTCGACAATTCAGTGTGTAAATAATGGTCTAACAATTAGTATGAAAAACGTCAGTCAGCATTTGACTCAATGATAAATTGTATTTGCTGACAAGGTCATTGTATCGACCATAGAACTTACGAAATGATGACTTTAAACGAGACTGCTGATATCCTTGATTCATCAACTTGTTAATCAGTAATTTACCTCGTTTTAGAAATTGTTCATAGGTAGAACATGCTCTTGCGTATCGAATCAGCTGAGAGATATATACCCCGTATGCAGGTGATGAAGGTATATTGCTGCATAAGTAAGGGAAGTTGACGATTGAAAAGTTAAAGTCATCACGTTTATCATAAAGCTTGGTTGTTAGATTACCATTAACGTCTTTTTCAAGTAAAATATCCAAATATGAAACAGATGTGTCAGACTCTGTGGTATCTTTTATCTCAAGTTCACCAGGATATATCGTATCGACATAAGAATGAAAATAGCCATTGTTAATTGACAATATATCTAAATGTCGAGTTGAACGCCACAGCAAGTGTTTTCTCCTTTTCACGTACAAGATTTTGGACAAATTCTGCTTCATATGAATACAAAAAAAAAGGTCTGCTAATAACGGGGCGCAATTGGTACCCATAGCAATTCCAATAGATTGTTGGAAGACCTGGTCTCCAAAAAACCACATAGATATTGTCAATCAGAAACTCAAGCATCTTTTCAATGTCAACTTCAGAGTACTTGTGTGTACAATCAGAATGTTTTTTAACAAAATAATTTTGCAAATGACCAATGACAAGGTAAGTATATTTACGAGTTCCATTTTTATTGAAAAAGCAGCTGTCAATGATATCAAAAAGCCTGGACTTTAATTTATCGTGGGGAATGGTTGTGTATAAAGTTGAAAAAACGTAAGATTTTAAGCTTGCAAAGTCGAGCATTGGCAAATTCCAGGATTTGGAATTTTTTTTTTATTTTGTCGGATAATTTTAGGAAGTCCCCCCCCCCCTCCCCCAACTTTGGTAAGTTAAGTTTAGTTTATTTTTTTTTTCTCTTTTTTATTTTGTTATTATTATTATTATTATTTATTTATTTTTTTCATTATTTTTTTATGCAGAAACATAAATTACTGAATTTTTGTATGAATGATGCGGATTCGATTCTCATTACCCGATTTTTTTTTCAAATATTAAACAAACGTATTGACTATTCTTTGATCAAGCGACCAGCATTAGAAGTGAATGTCATGAAATACCTTTCTTGGGAGTAAATTTTCACCAGTCCTGTTTCTCATCTATTTATTTCAATTTAAGTTTTGTACCGTCACGGTAGCTCAGTAGATAGAGCGCTTGCTCCGTGATAGGAGGTTGTGGGTTCGATCCCCTGCCGCGACTGACCTAAGTCGATAAAAAATAGTTAGCAAGTGAAAGTTGCGGGTCGTTCAGATGAGACATTAAAAACCGAGGCACCGTGTCAGGCTAGACGGCACAATAAAGACTCCTCACTGCTCAATGGCCCTGAGTGCTGAAAAAAGGTCTCGATTTTAAGCCCTTCACCGGTATATGGTGACTTCTCTATATGAGTGAAAAATTCTCGAATGGGACGTAAAACAACATTCAATCAATCAATCAATCAATTAAAATTTTTGTGTTTTTTTTTTAAATCTAAATATAAATTCTTGTCTTAAAAAGACTTACAAAGATTAGCATTGTGTTGAGTCACTGGAGGAATAGAAACCTCTTCAGATAAAAGTCTGTTTGCCAAGGAAATTTTATCTTTGACAAGACAAGTGGAGTTTGTTTCGTCATTTTCTTGTATCCTTGATATCACACAATGCCAAAAAAGTTGTTTTACTCTACATTTGGATACAATGACAAGAAGTGTATAAGTATTACACTTGATATTCATTTGAATATTAATGCTGATAATTTTAATTACAATTTTGAAAAAAAAAAAAAAAAAAAAAAAAAAAAAAAAAAAGCCTTCATGATAAAGCCAAAAAAAAAAAGGGGGGGGGGTCCTATGAATGTTCAGAAGATTTAAAAAAAGTCTTTTAAGATTATTACAGAAATAAATATGTATTTCCATTGCAGCCTCCTTTAGTATAAGGAAACTTTGATATTAGAATGGAAGAATACCACACATAAACAATTCACTATATATGTTAATCGTTTTAACATTTTTGTCACATTAATGTGTATTTGGAATTAATACCGGCATGATTCATTTCCTGTTTTATTCCTGAAGACCTTTCCGTAACAAGGGATTGCAAAGTTAATCACCACAAAAGAATTACTCATCACACTGGGATCACCACATGGTGAAAGAATGCCTGAAATAAAAAAAAAAATCAATTAGAGCGTTTGAAGATATTAAAATATGTTTTCTATTTGCGTCATTTGTCATCATGATGCTAGATTGTCATTTTTTCTGAAAAAAATGGATGTATACATTGGTATACACGTAGTTACTCTTATTTTGGTTATTAATGATGCAAATTGTATATATCAAATCTTTAAATGTCTCAGGAAATTGTAGAATTTAAAAAAAAAACAACAAATATTTCTCCTTCTGCTATCTCCTTTATAAATCTCTACAATTTTTTATCACTTTAAAGTGTATTATTGAAAAACTGTACTGTGAATAAAAAAAACCCCGTTATTATCATTTAATTTACCGGTCTCCCTTTTAACTTTCATTTAGATATATCGTTTCCCTTTAAGTTGCCAGATCCTCAGGTTGTTAAAAATCAGTAGATAAGTAATTAAAAATGCTCACAAAAATATTTCTAAATTCACAAAGAAATATGTATTTACCCAAAGTTCCCCATTAAAGTAAATCTTATCATACGAGGAAAATTATTAAATCTAAGATATATTTTAAGAAAACATGAATGAAGGCACATCTACGCACTTTCGTATTGAATATTTATCAACAATATATTTTAAGATAAGATAATATGGTTTCCAAGTATTAGGAGGGAATTGCATGTGTTTATAGTTACTAGGGTATGTCTTCTATTTATTTTGGTAATTATACAGTGTAAAAAGAGTTAATTTTTTGTAAACTTACACTGAGAGATGGGCATTCCGGTAAACTCTTCTAAAGTACCCTGGATTTGCAGAGCAAATGATCTCCATGTAATCTGGGGACATCGGGGTTCAGTGATATTCCCAATATTCTCCTTCAAACATGATACTAAGTTATATATATACCTGTAAAAAATATGCATGTAACCCATTAATTAATGCAATGATTAAAGCTTGTTTAATTTAAACAGTCTGTGTAGTAAACTGGGAAATAGTGAAAATGTTTATTTCTTTATTAAGGTTTAAAATTCTAGTGGATAATTACAATATTCTTTGAAGAATTTCTCTTAAACTATGCAATTAAATCACTATTATGTTTTTCTATTTATTTATTGTTTTGATTTGTTTTGTTTTGTTTTTTGTTTTTGTTTTTCTTAAATGATATAACCTGTACACATACCTGAATCTCTTTTGACTTTCATCACAAGTGAATAATTTTGTTTTAAATACAGAATTACAACAAAATATTTTCAGTATTACAGCTCAAGAATCTCTGAGAATTTTATTTCATTGTGTCTGAGTATGTTTGAATAGAATATGTCTCAATGTAAAATCTGTATCTTTGTGTACGTGTAAATGACACGCCATTACTATTCTATTGTTCATAAATGAAGACTTACCCACAGAATCCCCTACCACTGGGGATACCATATTCACACTGACCAGTTATCATCGAAGCATTGAAATACATATTTAGATACGGCATTGCTGAAAAAATATACAAAAAGGATTCTTATATTATAAAACTCAAGTAACTTTTTGGCAGTTTTATTTTCCTAGTGCAAGTGTACTGACCACAAATATCAACCCCACAGAGTTCCCAGCAGACACCCGAGTCAATGGTGAAAGACCATGGCTCTTCTCTGTCGAAATTTCTACAGTAGTCTCTTGTACAATGCTACAAACATCATAGCCGTGTTAATGTGGGCTCTGTGCATCCCATCTTTGACACTTTGCTACCATGCCGGTCGTTGTATGTTGAGTTAAACTCCTATTTTGCTGTGCAGTATTGTTCAAGTGCTATATTACTATATGATATTCTACCAGTTTCTGTTACGTTTTTGGTCCCTTGATATAACACCCCTGGTAATCGACAGTCAGTTGAGATAGATTTTGCTATAAATGTTTTAAGAATAAAACTAAAATAGCAAAAAAGAACTTTATTCAACATGCAACAACAAGTTTTGATTTTCCTCATATATTTTTTTTTCATAATAAATACCCCGGTAACACAAAAGTGTTGATTTTTTTCTTTTTTTACGGACATCATTACAAATATACTTAAAATACAATTGCTTTTTGTACATTTTCTTGCGGTTAATGTTTAGGGTGCTGCATGTACATTTCGGAAAATGACAGTAGGAGTATTCGCTTCCTTGATAAAGATTACTTGCACAATTATTCATTGATGTAAATATCTTTCCAATGCACATCTGCTACTTGTTTTTAATTTCCCCTGGAAGTACTCAAAATTTTAACAGAGTGGTTATTATAATCAAAATTTATTCATGCTGGTATTTAGTATAGAGTGGTATTTTGAATCACAGAAGTGATAAATAATTCATAGGATTACCGTTTTACGGATTAAACATAGATTTTAACACCTGCTTTACTATAAAATATATATACAATAATATTTCTGAATCAACATTTGAATTGAAGCAAAAATAAAAATACAAGAAATAAGTACTGTTATATTTTTCCAATTATATATTGAAAATAAAACAAAATTTACCAATAGTTGCCATTGAAGTACTGTTTAAACATAATAGCTAGAGTCTGTGTCGCTTTAAATTATTGAAGATGCTTAAGGAGCACTGGGATGAATATTTTAAACGTGAAACAGAAAAGTATTTGGTATTGTGTAGAATAATTCCATTTTTTTTTTTTAAACATACTAAAACATAAAATTCACGTCTATTCAGCCAAATGTATCTTCGTAAATTGAGAACTTTCATATCAAATATAAAAAAGCCAGATATTTTCTTACAAACACTTTCCTTTATATTAATGATGTGACCCTTTAAAAATTAAATCAGAACAAGACATTAAATATTAAGATTAAATGTGGAGAAAGCTTGTCAACGGGCTATTGGCTGTTATTATATAATAATAACATGTAAAATTACCTGTAACGGAATTAAAAAAAAGATTCCAGTGAGCAAGTTAAAAATTGTTATTTCTTTTTTCCATTACAGCTAGAGTTTTTGGAGTATTTCGTTGGATGTTCACATTAAAGCATGCTGTGGCTGAATGTCCCCTCCCATTTCGGACATGTTTTGCACGAGACCTTGACTGATTTTTTTATGAGATGAACAACAGTATGTAAACTTTCTGATAATATCAGATTTATTTAAATTTTGGGTGTGTTGAATTTTTGTGTGATGTACTGTATTTAAGGGGGAAGTGATAAGGCCCTGCACTTGATTTTCAAGTAACTTCATCCGAAACAAACTCGCGTGCTTTGCTGAATGGCTCTCTCTCTCTCTCTCTCTCTCTCTCTCTCTCTCTCTGTGTGTGTGTGTGTGTGTGTGTGCTAAAACGTTTACAGAGAATTGATTTTCATAATTTGAATACTCTCGAAAGGTTCTTTTAAATTCATTCCGCCTATTCGCAGTTGTGCATTTTTAGTAAGAATATTTAAATTGTAGCGACACTTTAACTCTTCAAAAAGGAAAATATCTTGATACGCTTATTATTGAAATAGGATGTAACTTTCTTTCTTTGTATACATTATTATGATAAGAAAAAGGGCGTCTAGTTAATAATCTATCTATTTTTCCAATGTAATAAATATTTTGTAGTATACTGTATATCGGTTTAAGAAACAACTCAAAAATGGCACAAAGTTTAAATTTATTTTTTAATTTCTCTTTTGTTGAAAAATAACAAAATAACATTTTTATACAAACATGGTTATTTATCAAGTTGATAACCGAAAATTCAATTTTTCTAATACTGATCTTTGGTTCCTCATTTCAAAGTATTTAATACTGATATTTTTTTTAAAATTTCATTCATACAAACGTTTTCAGGAAATAGTCAAATAGTCTCTTTGATGTGTGAGCCACATGCCTCCAGTATTTTCCATGTAGATTAAGTGTTGAGCCATTAATTTTCCTCCTATGGGGGCATTTATAAAAAGAATGTGTCTTCAGTCAGGCTTATTTCTATAATACGCTTGACATTGATAATCAATGTTGTCATTAACAAACATGCATCTTAAATTTGAACCTTATAAATATTTTAACCGATTCTAATCTGTTCATCAAAGTATGTTGGCATGAATAAAAGTTTCAGATGTGTTTTTTTTTTTTCTTTCTGCCATCACAAGTAACATATTAATGTTCAACAATTATCATTCATTTCAGGAATACGATTCATAACCGGTCGACAGGGAATGCTTACTCATCCTAGGCACCTGATCCCACCCCAATTCATACTGTGTTTTAAATTAAAATATAACTGGACTTTCTTGCTATAGAATTCACGTTCAAAATCGGATCAATGCAAAAGGCAACAGCCGGCATTGCAAGCAATTATATGCGAATTATCTTTTTCTTCTTCATATATCAAAGGTCTTTTAAGACACTGGTCACAGATAAATTAAAGCATATGGATGCATAAAGAAAAACACACTTTCAAGTCTTTGCGGATGACACTTTGGTTAAATGATCTACTGGGTCGGGTGGTGGAGTACTTTTACACTACAGAAAGAGAGTGTATTTTCCCCAGTGGGCTAAGTTCCAAGGATCTTAAGTACACTCCGGCAGGTCCATGGTATGTTATAATGAAGTTATCTTCACCCATCAGATGGAAACTTTGATGTCCATGCATCGAACTCGTCACCATCATATTTAGATTTTGAACTTTTCATATCACTATATAAAAATTACATATTGATGATTTTATGTGTAATGTGGACTTTATGAAGAGTATAAGGTTAGTTTACAACGTCGGTTCCACTCAATTTTTGACAACTGTTGTCAATTCCTTGCAACTCGATTAAAACATTAAAAATTCAATAATTGTTTGTATATATAGCAGTCTTTGGCTGAAATCTGAATAAAAGTATTTTAATCCGATAATAAATGGGGCTGCGGTGGTTTCTCTCATCGTAGGAAAAAATGTCATGAAATTGATTAGAATGACAGGCTCGACACCTATTTTCGAATTCCAAAATCTACCTGCTTCCCTCCAAGCTATTTATAAAACTGTTATATGTACATTTTGTATTGTGAAGCTTATAATGCTAGTATTTCAAAATTTACAAGGTCTCACTAAAAAAGGGTTCAATTTTTCGAAAATTGCTTAAATTACTTATGAAGAAAAACGATAATTCGTTTTATAGCTCAAAAATATCCATTTGATTTACTTGTCTTGTATTACATAATAATATATTTAAGACCATATAACTTGCGCAATGACTAGGGGTCTCAGATATCCATTTTTATTTGGATATTAATGAACGGTTAAAGTTCATTAAGATATAAAATTTATATCCCCCTTATGATATTTTAAATTTGCCTGGAGTAAAGAAAAATATAGACAAAGTATTGTTAAAAACACATCTATTTAGGAGACATGGTCATTTTATCAATTTGATACATTTTTCTTACACCAGAAATCCAATTTTTCCTAATGATATTTTGCACATGTATTCAGAGTACATGTACATGTATTTAAAATGACAAATTAAAAATTGTGACCTTTCGAATAATTTAAGTGAGCGTCTCCGAGAAAATCATGCAAAATGACAAAAATGGTCCTCAAGCTTACATCTCACATATTTTTAAACTGGTATAAAACTGGAAGTAACTCCCTTGCAATTCAAAAATTTTGAATTCAATTGCCCCCCCTGTGTTGTTCATTTTGTACCTTTGACCTACTTTAAATATTCGCCCAAATATCCTTTGAAAATTGTAAAAAGATACCAATAAACGATTCATTTGAGTTTCAAAATATGAGAATAAGAGAACAATTAATAGTTACAAACTTTCTATTTATATATAAGTTATCTATATCTTATTTTTTCAGTAAAACAAAGTTAAATTAACAGAATTGCGTTTATAAAGATAAGGCAGAATTTCGAAAACTGGTATTTCGATACCACTGCCAGATGTAAAAGATTATGCTAACATTGATGAAGATATGAATATGCCTGTAAACGCTTGCATCTTGTCTATTTCACATGATTATTAAAGTAGAAGACATAAATGGAAACTGAAAGAAAAGCCATCTTTGGACTCTCAAAGTTTCCTGCACAATTGATAAAACATTGATCCATAAGTATATGGAATAAAAAAATTCTAGGTTATTCCTGAATTTATTTTTATCTCAGACATTTAGACTTTAAACATTTTTGAAATTTTGATTTAATTTAAAAAAAGATATTTTCTGGTCATACATACTTGTTAGATCAATATCTTTCCTGTCTAAATCCTGTAGATAAGTTTTGATTCTATAAAAAAATATTTATAAATTTTACCTCCCCTTAAATGCAACCTCCAGGCAGAGAAGAGAAGCAAAACAGAGGTCACATTGAAAACATGAAATCAGAATGAGCTCGATGCACTTGCTCTATGTGGTCTGATCTTCTTAATTAAAATGAATTCCAAGATTTCTTCTGATTAATTTGAAATTTTTATAAATGGAAATGGATGTTCATTTACAAACACTACCAACCAAACGCCCTACTTTGTATGACTTTCCTAATGGAGATTGAATTTTGCATACACTTTTTATGCTTATGAATATGTCAGAGATATATTGAATCATCTAAATACTCTTCAAAGTGCAGAAATAATAGACAAGCATGTATATGATGCTCACATTTGTCTGGAGTAGATATCAATATTATATCGAATTGGGTATTTAACGGTTGATAATACCGTAAGCTCAAAGAGAATATGTCAAAAGCATCGTGAAGAGTTGGGGGCACGATGGAAAAGACCTAGTAAGAGAATCTGTTCCTATCCA